ATATAAATTAAAAATAAAATTAATTATAAATAAGATTAATTAATAAAAATTACTTATTCATCTAATTTAGTAGTAATTGGTAATTACTATATCATGTGCTGTAGTTGTACCATATACTACGTTACATCTATTGCATCATATAAATAAGTAATTGATTATAATACTATAATTCTTGATTTTATTTAGTAATAGGATAGTAAAATTAATAATTATGATTTTTAAATCTTTTATATTAAGATACAAATAGAAATCATTACTATTATATTTATTAAGTAACTTACAAGTAAATTCAACATGATCATTATAATATTAAAATAATTTTTGATTTACTATAAACTTCTAAAAGTAAATGTATTTGGAAGAGTATTTTGAAATATTAAATCCTTAATATTATAGATGATTTTTTAAGTTTACTATAATAAGATATGAATATATATTGATCTTTTTTTATAGTTTATTAAATATCTTAATATAAAAATCTAAATATGAATAGAAAAATCTGTGATATATATTTATTATTATAATACTGAGTATTATATTAACACGTATAATAACTTTCTCTTTATAATTATATCATATTCATTATTTACAATTAAAATCTTTATATGTTTCATCCTATATATCTTTCAATTAGTAATATAAATAAGAAAAATAACTGACTATATTTCTAACTTTTCTAGATATATTTGAATTATGAAAACTTCAATAATATATCTCAGTTAGTAAGTAATAATCTAATAAAAATTTATTTTACAAGATAAAATTACTTATTTTCATGAATAATCATCCTCATCTTCAACTTCTGTAATTACAAGATTGATAATATCTAATTATATCAGTAAGTAAGTCTTATAAGTTATGTCAGCTATTCTATCAATATATGTGTTAGCTGTTAGATCTCAGATTTTATGTTTAATAAAGTTATCTATATCAAGATAGTTAATTTTAATTCATATGATATTGTCAATATATTCTTGTAATTCTTCTGACATATTTATTGTGATTCTAGCTGGTAATATATGCTCTTTATTCCTTTAATCCTGATTCTTCTTATATCTTTTATATATCTTGTGACATATACTATTTCAAGTAAATTAATTATTGGAAATTTAAACTCTAAGTATCATCTAAATTAAATCTAATATGATATATTTATCTAGATTTTTTAAATTTCAATTACTTGATAATACACAAGAGAAATGGTATTTAAATATTATATTGGAGATGTATTTATTAAAATAATAAATCAGCTTAAATGATTTATATTAACTTTATTTTTTTAATATATTATTAAATATGACCGGATTAAGCTAAGTAATATCTCATGGGTCGGAATTGACAGATCGGAAGCGCCAGTGTCGATCAGCAATATCACGTGGCCCGAACTTTTTAGGGGTCGCCCTGGCAGACTCTTTAAACGCGTGATGTAAAAATATATCTTTACGCTATTTTCATAGATATTTTAGTTGTTAGTTATGGAACTTTCTAATGGTACGTTTGTTGATTTTTGCTTGTTTGCTGAACTAGCCTCATTTTATACGTTATCTTTCAGTTAGTGCACAGTACTTCGAAGCAACTCCCATAGATGGCTGGTCTTATCTTGGATACTTGGAGGCAATGAAACCGTATTTCTACAATTATGCTTCAATAACTTCATTAAAATCTTCGTGGAGAAAAAGTTTCTTGGCTACATTGAGGACTTTTGAAAAGTGCCAAGATCAAGAGAGAAGTGAGGTGGCTACTTTCCTCATAAATGAGGTTTGTAAAGTTTTTTTTTTATTTTTTTGCTATCAATAGCAAAATCTGTGAAGCTCCTGGAAGGTAACGTCCTTTACCGGGGGTCGTTAGGTAACGCCCTCTCGCGGAATTTTGTAAGCTTGCTTCTATTGCACCACTGAGAGGAAGGTAACGCCCTTGACCTCTTGGAGTTAGGTAACGCCCTCGGTGCTATATATAGCAAGCTCTCAACATGTCTTATGTAGGAAATGTCTTGTATATTTGGAATTGAACTAATATAATGAAAGATTCGCTTTTTTGTAGAAGAGCAATAAACGAGAAATATCGTAGTATTGGAATCGTATCGAACAAGAAAGAGCATTGAAGACGAAACAAATATGAAAATACGGGTTTAAATATTTCAATAGAATTTTCACATTAGTTATTAATATGAATGGTTTTAACTGAACAGTTGGCTGTGAAAAACCAAACACAATCTTCTGCGTTGGATATGCTGAATGTTGCAACCAGCAATCAAACGAACCAAGTTATTAAGTTGCTTGAAGAAGAATCAGACGAAAAATACCCTAGTATTGAACGTCGGGAAGAATTGGTACAATCTTTTAAAACAAATTAAAAGGCTTTCAATGAGTATGCTTAAAAAGGTTGGGTAATTTTTATTACAGGATGGGCCATCATCAAAAAACGCGAGCTCTAATCCAGATCCGGATGCGAGCGAAGAAGATCAGGAAGAAGAGGAGTCCGCAGATGAAATCGATAAATTCTTTATGGACAAGGGAAATAATGAAAAGATTCGTAACGGTGTTACCAGCAACGATATTGGTATTATTAACTTCGTGGAACGTATAGAAGAATCCAAGCCAATGTCATCAACCTGTCAACGTCCGTGGGTCCTCCGTAGTGGTACAAACGTAGGAGATAAATTGACAAGTTACATCAAGACGATTCCTGAGGCCCAAAAATGTTAAAGTAGGTTTATTGATAGATAACATGGATGTTTGATGATGATTCTTTTAATTATGGATTTTCTTATAGCCTCGCATATTGGAATATACTTGATTTGACCGAGAATACCCAAATGAAATCTCTTTTCTCGACGAATGACTGGGAGGAAATGGTTGAAAGTTTCAATAATGAAGTTAAATTGATCGAATCGAATTTTCTTGATGTGGTAGAGTATTTTTTCGATGAAGTTGAAAAAGTAAGTTAAAAGAAAATATTTGTCTTGTTTCAACACTTTAAAAAATGTTACTGACTCGAACAGTTTAGATTACAAAAAAAGATGATAAAGATATCATCAACGCGATCGATAGATTAACCCCGGAAATTATTGAAACGAATCGAAAAGTAGAGCTTAGCGATGGAGAAAAAAATGTTATTTCTATTTTAAGACGGGCTGTTGTCGCGTAGTGAGTGAAGCAAAATATAATTATCAAAAACTTTATTTTGTTTTCCTTACGGTCAATTCTTGCACATATAGTGCTGAAAATCTGGAAAGAGTTGATCTTCCGTTTCCGAGGCTGACTTCGACAACGCATTTCCCAACATGCTTGCCAAAAGATTCTTAAATAGGGAGGAACTAAAGATGGATGTGTAAGTATAGATAAGCAATATGACCAGTCTGATTTCATGTAATCAAATTCCATCTTACATAATTTTATAGCGGGGAAATTGCATGTTGGGCGTCAGCTTATCGCCGAAATGAAGTCGTTCCGTTGTTCTCAGAGCTCGCATTGGACAAAAGTGCGATTTTCGAGGAACTTTGAAAAGGAGTATCAACAAGCTTGAGGCTCTCATAGGTCTCAGAAGTGGTGGACTCCCAGAGCCTCATAAAAAAAAAATTTACGAAGACAAAGTTGATCTAAGCGTGGCCATGCGGGATATCTTATATACGTTCTTTAAAGAGAATTCTAAAGCACCTAGCTCTGACATTCATTCCACATTTGTCTTTGGAATACACTCATGGGGTAATTAAGCAGGAGAAACAATTGTAGTAATGAAATTGTATCAACTAACGATTTTTTTGCTAAGGATGGGTTCATAATATATATGGGATGGACTGTAAAGCGACGAATATACTACGACTTTGTTGTATTTCTCATTCAAAGATGCCCAACACCCTAAAAACGCTCTCAGTACTCGAAAGTTTCTATGTACTTTTTACGGATTTGCAGGTATTATATGTTTATCATTACTATATTTGATAGTATTTAGAATCTTACTATTATAATCACCTAATTTCAGACCACGTTGAATACTATTTGTGAACACACAAATAGTGTCTCACTTGCAGATTCACGTGCACACAGAAATCGAAAAAGGAAGAATCTGGAACAAGCTGGTGAGAAAGGAGGATCATTTGGAAATCCTTCACAAAGCCCGGCAAGTAAGAAGGGTAGAAAATATGAAGATCATTAAGCATGGATTATGTAGATTCTTTCTTGGATTAAAAAGTCAATATAATTTAATTAAGTATCATAGGAAACATTCGGGATTATAATTATTTTTTGCGTCATCATTTGTAATAAACTAAAATTTTAAAAGGCAAGCACCAAATTTTATCACATTATATACCTCAGAAACTATTTCGCCGTATATAACTGCATCCAGTGGAAACGTGTGTCCAGTACTTTTATATTGTGATATGTGCGTCGGAATAATAAAACTTTTCACTACTTTATAACAATATTTTTTGTTACATTCGGAATATGAAAAAATAATCGTATAATTATAGAGCATTTAAAGTTTTAAGTTTATTCAATGAGACCCAATTCTCGAAGATGCTCTGGAATAACTACATATGGGTCTTCGTAATACCAAACATACCTCAAGACAATCTGATTCTCTTCGCATAATTCTTTCTTGAGTTGATCCCGCTCTTGCTGTTTGATAAAATTATTAGGATCTCCTCTATGAAAGAATTCGTGATATTTTTCATGCTGTTGTCCCTGTACTTCTATAGCAAAACCGTAATCATAATAAGGAATATCAAGTTGCAATCCCAATTTATGTTCTGGTGTTTTTAAGAAATTAGGCCAGCGATTCTCTGATGATGGACCAAGATATTTTGATACAATTTCACGGCATAATTCTTCACGTTTGTATTTGGAGCAATATGGACACCATGTAAAACCATTTTTTATATTATTAAATCGAGCAGTCCATTCATGGCCTTTAATGCATCGCCACAGTAATGGAGTATCAGAATTAATATATTTTTCGGAAAGGCATTTACCATTCTTATTATATGCATACTGTTTAATATATTCAAGAGTGTGAGGTTTTCTATGAGAACATTCTGGACACCATGATCTACTATTTTTGATTTTAGCAAATGAAGCAAACCATTCATGACCTTTAACACAACGCCATTGCAATTTTGTGCTATTATTAATATATTTATTAGAAAGGCAATATCCATTTCGGCTTTGAGCTATTTGCAATTGTACAACGTGCATTTCCTGCACAATATGGGCACCAATGTCCATTTTTAATATGAACAAGTGAAGCGGTCCATTCATGATTTTTAGCACATCTCCATTGCAATGGTATCATAGAGTTAATGAAACTATCAGAAAGACACAGGCCATTTCGTCTTTTGGCGATTCTATGTGCATCATTTATAGAATATTTAACTTGAAATGGCATACCCGCACAATGTGGACACCACGTCCCTAAATATTTAATATTTTTAAACGGAGTACTCCAAATATGGTCTTGATGACATTTCCATAACATTGGACTCTTACTATTAACATATTCTGTTGAAAGGCATTGACCACGTTTAGATACTGCGATTTGTATAGCGTCTTCAAGAGTAAGATTTACATGACCTGCACAATGTGGGCACCACGATCCATCACATTTAACTTTTTTCAGTAAAGCAGTCCATGTATGTTTTTTAGAACAACGCCATATTAATGGAGTTTTAGCATTTTGATATTCTGTAGAAAGACAAACCCCACCACGCGATTTGGCAATAATATAAGCATCATTTAAAGATAATTTTTTAGGCATTGTGATTAATAATATACTCTTAAATAATCACCTTTTCAAAATATTGTATGGTATCAATCTACATATATCAAATGAACCTATATCTATAAATAAGCAAGAATCAATTTATGCAAAAATATGTGGTTAGAGAAGAGATGCGACAAGTTAACAATATACAACTTATCTAATATCTATATATCTATTTATCTGATTAATATATCTATTTAAAATAAAATCACCTAAAGTATTTCTTGAGGACTAGGACTGGTAACATTTTTTTCTTTGATTTTTATATGTCAACTTATTTTATAGATTACAAAAATTTCTAGTATAGATAATAGATCATGCTTATTATTTTTACATCACTCTAACTTCAAATCTGCTAGATAAGATCAGCTTCTCAATAATAAGAGAAGTGGCAAATAGATATATTATATTAATGTGCCAATAAATAATGAAAAAATAATTATTATTGAATATCAAACTTTGGTTTACTTATCTAATTTTAAAGCAATATCCCATTCTAATCTAATTACTAAAACATCATCTACTAACTTAGTAAAATCAAAAATTACAAAATCTTAATTCTGTAAATACTTATCAATTATCTTGAATATTTTTTTTGAATTATTTGTATATTGACATACAACTCTGCAAATATTATTCCAGCTTTCACTATCTTGAAATAAAGCTAAATATGAAATATTTTTATGAATAATTTTAGATATTTATGTATATTTTTATGATATATATATAGATGAGATATTTTGATACCAGCTACTAATAAAGTAAGAAATAATTTATTCTTGATATATCAATTACTTTTTTTTCTATTAAATATACATTAGAGTTTTTTATCTAGCATAAGATTAATACCTATATTTGTTTTTTCATTATTAAAATCTTCATATATTAGTAATCTAAATGGATTTTCTGATAAATACTTATTACTTTTTATTCATTCTGAAGATTTATTAAATATTTTGTTAAGTTGATACATATAAATAGATATTTTTTCTTCTTTTATTTTGATTAAGCCAAGCAATACTAATTATTACTTTGTATATATTGTTACCATTTTTGATGCCTCTTGAAAAGATTATTTTATAGTAGGTTAATAACTTTATATATAATATTTGGCCAAGATAAGATATAATAAAGATATTATGAATTATGGATAGGAGAGACTAATATAATCAAAGATATAATGTAATAGGTATTAGACTATGATTATAATGAGGTTAAAGATAGGTAACAAGAATGTGTTCATGATGTAGTCAACTAGAATGTGACCTGGGATCATAATATAAGGAATGTATGATAATAAATAAGGTATTATTAATAAAGGTCATTAAATTTATAATATTATTATGTTTAAATTATTATTTCACCTTATTATTATTTAATTCATTAATTTATTCATTATTTATTAAGTTATTTTATTTATTAACTTAATTTATTAATTTTTAATTAACTTTTTAATTTCTAACTAAGATACATTACTTTTATATATTTTAGAGGTTTTACAAATGATACTTTTATTATGATCTAAATACTACTTTTGCTAGTGTTATAATGTCAGTTTTATTATGATAGCATTATTAGTTTTACTATGATAATTTTGCTAACTTTGCTATGATAATTTTATTATGAACATTATACTTGTAAAACTATTTAAAAATATCTATCAATAATACTATCTTAATTATTGTTCAATAAAATATAACTAAATAATTGTCCAATAAAAATACGAGTATAAAATAATTAATATCAATAAAAAATATATATAAAAATTTATATTATAATAATATATTAAAAATATATATATTTTATGATTTTTATTCTAATGAATTATTTATATTTGATAGATAATCTTTTTTAATCAATATAATATGAATGCAAGAAAATAAATCATAATTATATGATATAATAACTAATGTAATATCTTCTCAAATATATATATCTAGTTTTTTTTGGTTATATTATCTCTGCTTATCCAAGTTAATTTTTTCTCATTTATAAAATATCAGATTCTAATGAAAATATTGAATCCTATTATATTCCAATATCAATTTTAGTTTTTTATTATATTCATCTAATTACATCCTATTCAAAAAGTTTAGTCTATATAATAAGAATTTTTTACCTAGCAGATCTTCAAAAATATATCTTGTAAATTATTTTTTTTTAAAATATAGACAAATTAGATATTATTCAAATTTATATTTCTAAATCTTATAAAATATCTTCTATTGATATTTTCTATCTTTATATGACTAGAAATATATATTTAAACTATTTATTCATCCAGATTTTCTTAGATATTTATCATTATATATTCTGGTATATTATTAAGTCTTATCAAATTTATTATTAGAAATACAAATAAAGTGAACTAATCTAATATATTGATTTTTTGATAATATACTTTAAGAAAAAAGTTAAAATATATTAATATCTATATATAAGTTATAAATACTTTAGAAGAAATATATTTATCATCCAAATAATATAAAACTAACTTATTTTTTGATATAGTGATCATCATAAGTAATGAGAATTGAAAGTAGCACAAACTGTATATAAAAAAACTTGACTGTGTATAACATGTATAGTCATGTTTTAATAACAATTTATTTATCAATATGACATAAAAACAAATCTAAAAAAAAATAATCCTTAGTTTTCTCTCTTTTTTTCATTACAAATGAAAGAAACTCCAATTATTAATCAATGAGAGACTGTAAGTTATCTTTAGAAATATGATATCTGTGATACCCTAACTTTAGCAAAAAAAAGTGATATTCTCCTCTCTACAGCATATAAATATATCACTTAACTAAAAAAAATAATAAACTCAAGCCTATTTCTCACCTGGGACATCCTACAATTTTAACTTCTCAAGATTAATATGCATTAAGAAGAATCATTACAAATAACAAGTATCTTACCTGTGGTGAAATTACCATAAAACTTTAATTCAAGGTTGAAATATTCACGCGAATAGTAAACTGTAAGCTTAATAAGCTTGGATATCATTTAAAACTTCCAAAAATCATGCCTCTGCTTTCAGAAAAATATCATCTAGCTCAAGTAAAATAGGCAAAAAAATATTGCAAAAAAAACTGGAAAATTATAATATTCATTGGAAAATTTTTGAGAACATAATTTTGCACAGATCTTCAAGTCCAAAATCTGCACAAAACTTTGAATCTGGTAATAATTGGTAAAAAAAAAAAATTAAAAAATCTGCACAGATCTGTAACAAAATGTAGGTCTGCTATAAGATTATTTTGTTAATATTTATAAACAAGATAAAATGCAATATGAATAAGTTTTAATTTTATAACTTATGATTATTTTTATTATTTAAAAGTATT